GTCTCTTACAGAATTATATCCATGGAAGCAGCCAAGCCCAGTTTGTGGCAGAAACCCACATTGTCCTGCTGTTCAGTATCCTTCCTGGGAGAAGCACGTGGATTGTTTTTTGGTCACTTAGGCTGCTGCCTTTCCTATGGTACTTTGTCATGGCTGTAACTGGCACCCACTACTGATGCAGGAGCTTGTAGAGCCTTTCTGCATTGACAGCTGTGCTTTTCCTGTGCCTGTGATCTTTCAGTTGAATACAAAAATGTTTGCAGCTTTCTCACCACTTTTTGCTTAATCACCAAACTGAATACAGCCTTAAAAATGTGGATCTTTGTGGAATCAGGAGATTCTGTTCCTCTGAGCATGTCTCCAGTCTCACTAATTTTTTGCTTTGGTGTCGAGTTCATTCCTCTCTTACTGAACTTTCTTCTTTTATTTCTTTGCTTACCTTCTTTACTAACAATTTACTAACCTTTACTAACAAAATGCTAACAAATCAGGATTTTTTTTTGAAATAGAAATATTTCTTGATGGTCCTGTTGCAGTCAATGATAAATATTTCTCCTTTCATTAAGAGGAGACTTGTGACTGAACATCTGTAGTGAAATGCAATGAAATTTTTGGGAATTTTGACTTTTGTTCCATTGGATTCACTATTTTGCTTTGCTAGGATTCATTCCTTGCAAATGTCAGAATTTTTGTGTTATCTGCACTTCCTTAATTTTACAAGCTTTAATTTTTTTTTAATGGAAGAATTAGAAGAGAAATCTTGCCACTTGAAAGATAGCCTGTTAGAATAAATACTGTATGTGTTTAATTTGTTGTGTTAGCTGAGTAAAATGCAGAGGCTGAATTCCTTTGGGGATTTTCCAGTGGAGTAGGAGTGGACCGAGCTCTCTGGAAAGGAGTTGCTGCTTCATTACAAGCTGAGATAATAAATGCACAGTTTTAATTTTTTCCTCGAGACCTCCCAGTTTGTATTTTAACCTTTACATTCATCTTCTCTTAAAAGTTGACATCATTAATACTTTTCCATTGCTTTTGTTCCCCCTGTAGTTACTGGTTTGGCTGAGAAGTCTTTGATTTTTCCAGTGAGTTTTAATGCTCCAGGTATGGTGTGGGAGCTGAATTTAGGAGATTAGGAATGTATTCTTTTGAGTCTATTGAACTTTGTTGGTTTATCCTTAAACAGTGTTTGTAGATGGTGGTGTTACTTTAGGAATGGTCCTTCTCCATGAAGCTGCTACTTCTGACATGGATGTGGGGAAAAGAAAGAGTAAGTGCTGATACTTTTCTCTCTAAGGGAAGGCATAATCAGTAAAGGTGTTTGAGATGCTATTTAACAGAAATGCTTTTGCACTGTGGGGTTTTCTACACTTTCCACCCCTAAGCCAAAGAGAATTCTTTGGATTTTTGACAGTATTTGGAGTTGCTTAGCAAATTGCAAGGTAAACTCCAAGCCCACTTGGCAGATGGAAAGATCTAAAGATGCTTTGCAGCACTTTACTTAGTAAGGGAGAGAAGAGGGGACTTTTTTCTTAAAGCAGTTGTATAAAATTGATTTACAGAAGGACTTTGAAAGCAAATGGTTGTTAATTTAGTTTTTCTCAATGACTCTAAGGGAGACCTCATGTGGCCAAATCTGTAAATATCCCGGGAGGCTTTTGAAAACCCCAGTCACTGTGTGTTTGTGGGGTCAGCTGTCAGGTTACCACTCTCACTGTGCCTCTCTTGCAGTCATGTGCATTGCTGGGATTGGCTTGGTGGTGTTGTTCTTCAGCTGGTTGCTGTCTGTCTTCAGATCCAAGTACCACGGCTACCCCTACAGGTACGGCACCGGAGCTCTGGGGCCTCCTCTGGGAGGAGACACTTTTAAAAATGCTCCACTGCTTTCTCAAAGAGTAGCAATACTGGTTGATAGAATTACCAGAAATAACAGAATCTAGTGGATACTGTGATTTTTTTAGTCTGGCCGAAGGAAAGATTGTGGAACTCTCCTTTTCATGCCATTGCATACAATAAAATATTCCTATTTTCATAATGGTATCTCAGCCAGTTTATACTGAAAACAAGTGTCTTTTTACCTCCACTTTTCTCTCATCTTGATTATTAATCCTTTTTTGTGAGAACAAGGAGGTTTCCTGATGCTTTAAAGCTTCCTACATTTTGGATTGCTTCTGTAGAGAGTCTAATACTATTAATTGGCTGCTTTATATATGTATATGATCAGTATAGATATCTTAAGTGTGCTTACTACCTTTTATGCATTTTGAAGGAATAAATACATGCTGAGGGACCAGCTTCTAATCATTTCACCTTCTGCTAGGAGTTTAATTTGTTAGGAAGACTAATCTCATAGGCAGATATCTCCTTTCTATGAGAAATCAGTTTTTATTTAAAAATATCTAAACAATAAAACTTGTTATTTCATGAATATGTTTCTCAAGACCAGTAAAGGGCTGAACTTATTGCCTCTTTAGTAACTGGTCAGCTTTTATTCTGGTTTGTGCAATGGTTTTGTACTCCTGCTAACTTTGTTGTAGGGAAGATGTGGATGTCTTTGTATTTCAGTTACTAGAAAACACACTTTTGAGCAACTTCACAGCTGTTTTTGTTGTAGTTGCATCAGGCCCAGTTTCTCATTCTGGTTTTCTTGGCATACGTGACAGCTAAGTGGAATGTTGCACAGCTTTATTTCTTACAAAGTTAATAACAATGTTTGTTATTTTGTTCTTGCAGTTTCCTAATGAGTTAAAGGATTGTGGAGTCTGTAACATCAGGAAGGTGGTGGCTCTGCAGTTGGGTGTAATGGAAGGAAGAGCTCAATGTGTGGTTCGTGCTACCTCTGCTTACACTGAACGAGATAGTGAAACACTGAACCAAAGACCACGTGTAGTGCCTTAAATAAAACAAGCAATTTGCTCTGAAGGACACAGAGTATTAAGATGCAATCTCTCTTTCATAAGCTTTACATCTTCTTAAGCAACTTTACTTCTAGTGAAATTCAAAATTTAATGCTTAAAACTGCATTTCCATAGACTAACTAGAAACAGGGCTTTAAATTCACTGGGATAATCTGTTGCTTTCCCCCTCAAGTATTTATCACTTTATTTCCTGTTTGTACATAGCAGGTGACAGCAGCATCTCTTGTCATGCCTTTTCATGGTTGAGGAAACACCATCATGTACTTGGAAATCTTTTCCTTCAGTCCGTGTGCAACCCTTGGAGCATAGTACAGATTCCAGTGTGGAATGTGCGTATCCTAGAGCTGTGTCTCATTTCTGAGAAGAGTTCTTAACTGCTGTATGATGCAAGAGGTTGTTTCACAGGTGAAGGGAGAATTTTCAGTAGGTAGAACTGAGTTAATAATTCAGTTATTCATTAAAAACTTTTTTTGCCAAATGCTGAAACTGCAATGTTTAAGTTGTAAACTGAGTCTCAGCTGAAAAAAGTGTTCTTATGCTGACCAACACTCAAAAATACAAACCAAAACTACAAAGTTAACTGGCTATGTGTGGCATGAATTAGAAGTTGCTAACTGGCTTTCAAGTTACTGCTCAGAGCTCTGGCAAATCAACAGATACCAGATTTCTGGTCTGTTATGTCAGTTCTTACATTTTCCACTCATTTTCTCCCAAGTTTTTACCCTTGGGGAGCACATGGGAGAGAGCAATCTGTGTCCCAGGATAAATGTTGCTCCCCCAGGACAGATTTGTTAGCCTTACAATTGAATGCATGTGCTTTTTGCTCTCTCCTTTTGTTCTCTCACCTTACAAAGATATTTTGCCTTAAGAATTCCTGAATTAAGAATACCTTGTGCCTCAGCCCAAACTGCACGTGTGCTACGGGAAATCTTTGCAGCCTGATTCAGTAACACTTCCTTCTGTAGGCTGTGGTGGCCTTGGAGGTTACTAGAAAATATGAGACTTTTGTCTCCTGCTTCTCCCTCTCCCCTGTCTTAAGGGGTTACAGAATTTGGATGCTTTAGATTGACTCTCGGAAAGGACAATGTCATTGCAAGTAGAATGTTATTCTTACGCAGTTGTACTAAATTAACACACATCTCAAGTGCCTTAACTTCACTAATTTAGTTGTTTGATGTTTCAACTTGTTGAGATGCATTTTTCTATGCCATACAGAATGATAAGCCTTAGTGGAATGGACAAATTGTGTGCCTGGCTGGATTTTGGACAAGTCTCAATAAAATTTTTTAGTCTAATCCATGCTCCTGTGTCTTTTGAACTTTAACATAGAACAAATCAAACCAACCTCTTTTCTTCCACTGTTGCTTCAATGTGTTGATAATGGAGTGTATAAAGCCCCCCAGGATGGCTGAGTGGGGTGTGTGTGAGTGGCACGGATGCGTTTGTGCAGAAAATTACAGCCCAGGATCTCAACACCAGGGAGCTGCTCATGTAGCCAGCTAATAGCATAAAGATTGCATGGTTGTGACTGGTCTTTGGCAGCTGTCCTGGGGTGAAAATCTTGGCTTCCTGGAGTCCTGACAGATCAGCTAACAGTGTTTCTGGAGGTGGAATCTCTGCACTGTAAATTTGCCTGGAACAACTTGGTACTGCTGTGCCTGTGGCTTATTTTCCTGCCCTGTTGGTAAAATGTTCCCAATAAACCTTTAGGTTGGTGGTACTGCAGTCATGAGCAGTACAGGTGAAAGTGGCTTACAGTCTCTTTCTAAGGAGGTGATAGTTTTTCTAAAACTTTCAGAGTTGTTTCTAATTCTTCTGACATGGTGCATAATTTATTCTGTCCCTCTAAAACCATCTTGTCTTACATTGACTAGGGTTAAACACTTGCACATCATACAGGTGGGTGGTGAAGTCATGTTGGCCTTCCACTTAAGGTGGTCAAGACACTGAGTTTTGGATTTTCCTCTTTGTCTGTGCTGACATATGAGATGAAAGTAATGTTTCCTTTCTCCAACAATTTTTCTGCTCTCTAGGCTGAAACTGAAGTGCATGGAGGAAGGAACAAGTGTGGTAGTGGAGCAGAAGATCCAAGTGCAGGACTGGTAGCAGGTTTAGAGAGGATGAATTCTGGAAAAATTTGACTTGTGCAGCAGTTGGCAGGTAATGGGCAGCTCTAATTGGTGCCCAGAGTGACTCTTTGGGACACTGGCTCTTGCAGCTCACTGGTCAGTGTGACACAGCCTGCACCAGCAGAACAAAGGTGGATGGGGCATTCGAGATCTGGTGTGGGAAAGCTGGGTGTTGCTGAGGCCATCTCCTCAGAGGGTGAGTCATTAAACAGCTCAGAAATGCCCTGAAAGCTCCCCTTGAGAGCACTTAAAGGGAGGAAATGGCATATTCTGCAGCTGAAAATGAGCTGTGTGGTTTCGTTACTGTGGTTGGTCTCAGAAATTGCTACTTTCTTCTGCTTTTGAGGTGGAACTGTGGGGTATTCAAAAGATATTTCGGAATAATAGCTAGAAATAATTTAGGGAGTTCTCTGGGTTAAGTGCAAGGAAAGATAGTAAATTTAGTTGGATGAATCTGTGTAATGGTTTGCATTATGTACAATTTGCTGTAAGCTCCTGTCTTCAGACCATTCTAGTGTTCAGCACAGAATGTGCTGCTTTATGAGCCCTGGCACAGGTTGCCCAGAGAAGCTGTGGCTGCCCCATCCCTGGAAGTGTCCAAGGCCAGGTTGGATGGGGCTTGGACCAACCTGGGCTAGTGAAAGATGTCCCTGCCCATGGTGGGGGGTGGGATGAGATGGGCTTTAAGGTCCCTTCCAGCCAAACCATTCCATGATTCCATGATGGTGGTGCCTAGTGGTCATTCCTGCATTTAATCCTTTAACATGCTCCTTGAGCAGGTGCTCTTCAGGGGCAGAACTGCTTAGTCCTCCAGCAAGATGGAAGATGTGCTCAGCTCTGCATCAGTTGTTCTTGATGCTCATGCAAATAACCTTAATTAGTCGCCTGGCTGGTGGTGTCTGTGGCCAAGGGTACAGGCGCAGTCACTGGATCAAGATTCACAGTCAGCCATGAGGGTAAGAGCAAGTTATGCTTTTTGGCAGGCAACGGGAGGCCCATCCGTGTCTTAATGAGAGGATGGCTGGCTAGAGGCTTCAGGAGAAAAATGGAGGTGCTTTTATGGTCACGACTCTTCAATGATTTTACAGCAAGGCTTGTTCTGAGCCTCGTTAAAAACGTGTAACAGTAAACGCAGCAGGGACTTTGTGATTCCTAGTCTATATTCCTGACAAATCAAAGTAGGTGTTTTAGAAGTACTGAAGAAAGTCAATTGCTGAACTTCCTAAGCATTTGGAACATCCAAAGAAAATCAGATGCCTGAATGGCTTGTGCCTGTTTGGATGTGCTTCCCAGGACATCAGATTATGCCAAATCTCGTGGCATTTTGTAGCTAAACTTTGTTGGGAGAAAATAATAATCCATAGTGTTCCTTCAAGATTTAATGGCAGTGGCTTGTGGTAGTCTGGTTTTAAAAATATCCACTTGATAACGGAAAACCATTTAGGCTTAAATTGGGTTTAAGAAGTAAAAATTTACACATGCTTTCATCTGCTGCGAGAAATAATTCTCACGGAGCATTTGGAAAAGTACTGGCACTTGGTTTCTGTGTTGGGCCTTGATGTTTGCTGCTTTCTAGTGCTGAAAAGGTTCAATTCTCAACTACAAACCGCTGCTCAACTGATTCCATGCTGTCACTTTGAGCTTTACCAAGGGGAATAGAGTAACAGCAAAACAAAGAGCAAACCCAGGCCCCTCAGTGAGCATCATCTGGTTTCAGTTTTGTCATGCTTTTTGTCTGATGAATAGAGAAGGAATTTCATTGCACATAATCTGTTCCATTTAACAGCTCAGATCTTGTCCATTCCTACAAAATTAATTTAGGCATAGTGTTTTATTGGTCTGGATTAATTATGCTGCTTTTATCACGGATAATGTGCAAAAGATATATATGTTTGTATTTCTAGGTCAGAAGCACATCAAGTTATTAAAATACTCTCCTGTCAGTTTATAGCTATACATGTCTTTCAGCCATTTTCCTTAAAAGTAGGCTAATATGTACTTAAGAAAACTAATTACTATCATTATGAAAAGAAATAATCGGTGTGATGAGACTTTACAGTGGCCCTTGGTTTGTCCTGAAAACTGAGCTGTGAATCCTGGTTCTCCAAGGTCTGCTGGAGCAGGCAGCAGTGTGGGAGTGCTGGGGGAAGGGGTCCTGTGTGCTGGGCAAACTTAGCTGGGTGGAGGCCTGGTGGGTGGGCAAAATGTTTCCCCACAGATGCACTTGGTATCTGTCACGTGGACTTCAGTGTGCTTCTACCATCTGGTTTTTGACAACCTCATGACAATGTCAGGGTTTGTCTACTGGAGTAATTGCTGGGAGGTGGAAACATTTCCACTTTTATCTCAAACCTTATTCTCATGTTAGGATCCCTTTTTCATGTGTGACTTCAGATATAAGGTATGAATTGGAGGCAATTAAATATGGGCTTTAAACTGCTTTCAAATACCTTCTTCCATCTCCCCAGGAAATAGCAGAGGAATAAAATATTGCAGAGTAATAGTAATGAAGCTGTGTTGTTATGCTAAATCAGTCAGATATTTGTCAGCATTACGGACTAAATCCCTTGAGGAGGAAAATGAATGTTTTGTGTTCTTATTTTAATCACACAGTTGGAATCCTAATGCAGAGCTAAGACCAGGTAATGCTTCCGGTTTCCTTCCTCTGACTGGTGGCAATTTGTGATGGAATTTGTAGCCGTCAGTTAACAGGGATTTAGTTTTTTCCTTCTGAAACTGAGTGAGAATGCAGGCAACATTTGGTCTTCTCCAAGTGTAGCATTGGCCATGGGGTAAGTTTGGTAACAAAGCTGCAGTTAAACCTCTGGTATTACTAAATTGCAATTACAGGATGTAGCTCTTGGGTAAAATGTTACATTTCTAAAGCAAATTGTGGTTAGACCCATTTGTAGAATCTCCCTGGAATGTGTGAGCTTGTATGTGCTGAGGTGTGAAAGTGCTATTGATTCTGATATTGTTGCCTCTGCAAATGAAATGGGTGTTTAAGGATGATTTGCTTGGATGTTTTCTTATGTTTCATACACTGCTTTATGAACACAGGTGAGTTGATACATTTTATTTTTTCTTTAGTTTCTGCAGAAAAATATATTAATTTTCAAAACTGGTTTTCTTTATAATAAGTGAATAATACTTGTCACCTCTTTCAGATTCTGTGTGATACTGGACGTGGTTTTGGTGGTTCGTTCTGGTTTGGTCGTGTGGGGAGATGGAATTTCTCACAAAACCTCAGCCAGTGGAGTCTGGTCACCTTCTCACGAAAGCCTGTGACTGCTTTCTCTTGGAATAGGGCTGTATTCCAATCCCCCTCCTTTCACACATAACATCTGACAGGAGTGTAGAAGCTGCTGGTACCAGCAGGGATGATGGTCTTGGCATACTCAGGTGAAGCTACCAAGGATGGGTTTCCTTGTCTGTTTAAAGAAAAATGGAGCCAAGCTGGGCTGAGGCTGCAGCAGGAGGGGAGACTTGGGGCTGCTCGGGTGGGACCTCGGCCGTTCTCAGTGTCGGTCACGTCACCCCTGTCTGGCTGTCTCTACTTGGGGACCTTTCCTCCCAGGCTTCTGGGTTCATGTCCTGGTGAGCTGTGAGTGCAATGGTTAATCGATCCCCGCAGGGGAGAGGGTCATTCTGGTGATCCCCATGGAGGAAGAGGGTCATTTTGGTGATCTCTGCAGGAACCAAGGGTCATTCTGGTGATCCCCATGGAGGAAGAGGGTCATTTTGGTGATCTCTGCAGGAACCAAGGGTCATTCTGGTGATCCCCATGGAGGAGGAGGGTCACTCAGGTGATCCCTGAAGAGGCTGAGCATGATCCCTGTTGAGGAGGAGGATCGCTCTGAGGCTGTTACTGGAGCTGGGGCTCTAACCCTGAGTTGCTCTTTGTGAGGGTGCTGTATTTTACCGCGGTGATTCACTTGCTACAGCTGAGTGGGTGTTGCAGAGTGGCCCAGGTGGCCCCTGTGCTGCAGTGGCTCCTGCTGACACCAGCTCTGTCCCCGTGTCCATCCCGTCCAGGGCCGGGCCGGGCCCCCTGCTGGGCACAGGGGGCAATGCACTTTGGTGCGAAATGACGTCACGGGCCCCGCTTCGTGACGCCACCGTGACGTCAGCCCCTTCCCAGCCAATCAGCGCAGGAAAGGTTGGGA